GCGCCGCCATATGGACCAGCCTGTGCTCCTGGGCGCACTTTCCACTGAGCAGGAGCCGCACGGGCCAGCGCGGCGCCAGCGCCGCGCCCTGCCTGCAGCAGCCCTGCACCCTGCCGCCCAGGCCGCTCGAGATTACGAAGAAGTCGATCTCCGACCCTGACCCGACTCGGCACGCGGGAAGCCCAAGCGCCACGACCATGCCGCCCGCCTCCTGCGGCCAGCCCAAAGCCTCCAGCTCGTGGGGCTCGCAGCCCCAGTCGCCGCCGATGACGCAGGGCACCTCGGCGCAGGCGAGGCACCCCCCAGCTGTCCCAGGACCAGCTTCGACTCCACATCGAGGCCTTTGGCAGCTACCAGGCACACCGACACCGCCAGGAACCCCCCGGCACTCCACAGCCGACCCACTTCGCGATCACACGGCCCCGTGGCAGCGCGGGCCCCTTGGGCGCATCGCCCATCCCGCTGCGCGCTCGCACCCCGATGCCCACACCGCTGGATAGGCCGCTCCTCTAGGTGCGCACAGGTTCGCTGAACGCCACCGCCTAGCCCTCTCTGCGGCAGGCCTGCCCGGCCTCAGGCGCTGCGCCTGGGGCCACGCCCACCTCCTGCAGGAAGACCACGTCTGCGGTCGCCTCCTGATGCAGCCAGCGCGCCATGCTGCAGCGGGGCGTGCTGGCTGTGTCAAGCCGCCATGCTCCGACCTCACGCCGAGCCTGGACCAGCCTCCTCTTGGCCTCGGCCGTCGTGGCCGCAGGCGCGCTTGGCAACGGGGAGCTCGATACCTGCGGCCTGACACGCCTCCTCGAGCTTGCGGCGGCTCTCGCCCTCGAGCTGGTCGACGTGGGCAGAGAAGGCCATGCGGTCGTCGCCCGCGCCCTCGGAGCCCGCGGGGTCGCCGCTCCGCTCGCCGCCTGGGGCAGCAGCAGGAGGACCTGCCGCATGCGGCCCCGCAGCAGGCTGCCCAGCAGGCTCTACCCCTTCGCCGATGGGCACGTCCCCGCTGGATGTCGCCACCCACTCGGCTTCGATATCAGCCCTGATGGCGTCGACATTCCGCTGCAGGACCGCACGAGAGGCCTGGAGGCTGGCTGCCTCGTCTCCGTCGGCGGCGATTGCTGCAGGGGCCTCGGGCCCAGCGGTCGCCTTGGCCAGCTCGACACCCCGGGCCGATATGGAGCCAGACGGCAGCCCTGCTTGTTCCATCCGCTTGGCCTGCACCAACGCATCGCGGCCCTGGGCATGGCGTTGGCGAGCCGCCTCGAAGACTGCCCGCCGCCTCCACCACGGCCGCCCTCGCCTGCACCAGGTTCTCGGCCGCTTCCTTGTGCGCTGCCTCATTCGCCGCCGCCTGCTCGCCCAGCTTCTCGAGCTTCCAGATGCAGGACTGCAGCACCTGCGAGTAGGTTTTGGGCTTGACCTCATTCGCAAGCTGTTTCGGGGCCAGCTTGGCCCCACCCGCGTCGCCGATGACCACGACCTCGCCAGCCAGCAGTGCCAGGCAGGCCGCCGTGACCGCCTCCTCGCTGGCCCCGCCAGGGGCACACGTGGCCTCCTGCTGCATCTGGGCTGCGGGCCCCTCAGAAGACTAGCACCCCTGCGGCAGCACCTTGCGACCCACTTTGTCTCGGCCATAGCCAGCTGGGGGCTGGCTGCCCGCCTTGGCTCCTGCCGCCATCTCCGCCGCATGCTGGCGCACTGACAGCGGGGCCGCCCGCCCGCACGATCTGCACGCAAGCCTGCACGCCCAAGTGCCGCATGTGCTGCACCTGCAGCCCCACCAAGGCTTCGTGGGGCCAGGCAGGACGGCCGCGTCGCTGGCCAGCGGCTGGCTCTGCCGCTGCCACGGCGTTGGCGTGAAGCACGAGCCCCTTCCAGCGCCAGCAGCGCGCGGCGGCTACCGCCTGCTGCGCACGACTTGTCAGGGCCCGTCGGCGCCGCCGTCTGCCCACGAGACGCGCCGCGGGCGCGATCCCCCGAGCGACGGGGCGGCGGGCCCTCGCTTG